AAATATATCATGCATATATTTTTTTTTAATAAATTAGCAGAATCAACTAATTCAGCCACTTTAGCTGGAAGTTGATAAATTTTAGCAGAATCAGCCGATTCAATCGATTTTAACAACATTACCTAACGGGCGGGCTCTATGTTAAATTCACAGAGAGTACCATATTTTTGTGTGTGCATTTATGTTTTAACCCTGCTATAGGTACCCCAATTTGTACCTCAACCTATTTTTGTGGCTCACAAAAGCCCACCTCAATAAATGAATTGCCCCGGTTTAATGAGGTGCTTTTGTGAACCACTAAAATAGGGTGAGTACCCCAATTTAGCATTTTTGTTTAAGTTTTGAAGCTAGGAAAGCATATAAATAAAGCATACAGTAGTATACTCCGTCCTCCGTATGTAATTTCAGTTTTCGCTGATGTAATCATATTACATTCGGATGGATATATGGTACGTTGGAAGCGAATTGAATGATGGATGAATTTGATTGTTGTGTTGAATTTTATCTTTTTTTCCCTTTTGTAATGAAGGTCTGGATCAGAAGAACATTGGTCTTGGGCAGCAGATTGTGATGCTCAAAGCTCCTTTCGCTCTGCCATTTTATCATATGGTGCGCTAACGGCGGCGGAGAACCCCACCCCTTTCAGCCTCGACGACCGGATGGTATTGGGATCATCGATCTTTTCCATGAGGTTGGCGTAGTGCAGAGACAGCGCCGCCGCCCCTAAAGTCCCCTCCCGCGCGCGGCTTCACAAAAACGACTGGTTTTGGAGACCTCGTCCATTGCCCTGCGAAGCAAGGCAGTAGAGCTCACGTATCTCTCCAATTTCTTCATCCATGCCTTTCCAACTCAGCACACTTGTTGCTGATTTGGGTCGGGTCAAAGTGGTTTCGGATTGTCCTTGTTATGGGCTACAATTCGATATATGGTACGCTCAAAACGGATAACGGGTGAATGAGAAATTGATTCTCGAAGTTTACCCGTTAGAATAGAAAAACCGGGAAAAATGATAGATTTCTAGTGTGTTAATTTCTCATAAAGGGATTTGCAACCCTTTATAAAGGGACTCCCCCCTTATCGAGTTAAGATTCCCAAGGGTAAAAGCTCTCTCCATGCGCGCGGGGGGCGGGGTGCAAATCAAATCCCAAAATCGGAGAAGAAAAACCGCGACTTGCGTGCGCGGGCGACCTGCGGACACGAGTGTCGTCCAAAAATCTATCTCTCAAGAGATACAGTTAATTTTTGTTTTCTTCCCGTAATTTTTGTTTTCTTCCCGAAACGTTTATTTTCTCAGTGACAGAAGTGCCTAGCGGCAGAAATGCTCCGGACAGAAGGCCTCCACCAGAACACCTCGGTATGGTGTTCTGGTGGCGTCGGACAGAACCCCTCATTGGGATGTTCACTTGGCTTCGGACAGAATCCCTCGTAGGGTGTTCTGTTGGGAGGTTTTCTGGTCGCGTTCTGAACCGTTACAGCATTCAATGCCCAACATTCTTATCTTTTAATGCAACGTTAAATGGACAGTTCATGAACGATTCAATGCCCAACGGACTGGTCATTGATGTCCAACGTTAAGGTCCATTAATTCACCATTTACACACAACAAATCCTCCTATATAATGGCTGGCAAGTGGTTTGCAACAACACACGTTGATACACACGATCTTACACATTCCTCACGTATTTCTGAACTCGAAAACAACTCCAGCATTCCGAAAATTTCCTAAGTGTTCATACTGTGTTCTCGTTCGCTGGAACTCTTGTTTGTGTGCTCAAACATTAGTTCGAAGTCATCGTATCCTGGGAAACGATTGTTGCAACGCTCCTAGCACCGTGGGAGGCAGCAAATACATTTTAAGGACATCGTACGTAGCACGAGCTTTGACTAATTTCTGCTCCATCTTATTTCTGTTTTCTTTCGTCATTTTAATTAATTTATTTTAATTAATTTTCTTTATTTTCCGGAACACACCCAACAATCTTAAAACGTATTTGGTGATTGTTATACTGCGGTATACAATCTTAAAATCGTAGTTTGTCACTTTGGTGAACGAACTTAATTTTTTTGTTTTTTTCGGAAAAACGTTAAGAAACGAAAATGGTTTCTCAAGAAAACCAGAATGTTGGTGGGCAGAATGTGCTGAACGATTAGAATATTATGCTTATTTTAAAGTGTAGCATTCCACAATTAAGTCACGTACTTAATTAGCTACTAAACTTGATATTCAAGGACTAAATATTAATAAAGAAAACTCACAATAATAATTACGGAGTAACATAAAATGAGTATGTGACTTTATTAATTAATGAGCATTAAATATTCATTCATAAATCATAAACTATGATTGTTGATGTGAGTTTTCTCGCACTTAAAAAGATTGTAATATAGTGGTGTAAGTACGAGTATCGTCTCCACAGGGACGAACAAAAGGGAATCAAGAATTAATTAAATTCAGCGATTAAAAATACATAAAATAAAAGTGTCGTGCGAGATTGGTTGCTGGAGAATCAAAATGCGAATAAAACGATTAAACTAAGGGGTTCTTTCTAATTAATGACGAAGGGAACATGGATTAATTCCGGGGTAACCAGATTTCTGGCAGATCTGCCTTAATTACATGAAATTAATTTAATTGAGTCTAGCTAATCATTACTAAGTTCTTACCGCTCTTGCGGCGTAGAGTACAATAATTTAGGGGACCAGACTGATCTCTGGATCCTAAATTATTGCCAAGACGAGCGAGCTTACGGCCCCTTAATCGCTACTAATCTCTTAGCGAACGATTAAGTGTGTGTGAATGTGTCCTAGAACAAATTAGACCTCTCTTAACTTATTCTACAAGCAATTGTAATTCTAGTCGCGATTCTAGGTTACAAAAGATATCAGTTAAATTATTCAAACACAAATTAAACGACATTCATGCAATTAATCCATCAAGAAACTACCCATACATCATGATCAATCCCTTCATCAATCCCAAATCCCTAATTAAAAATACTCAGAATTCATAATTGAAGAATCAATAGAATTGGGAAAGAATCAATAGAATCCATAATATCACACTTTTCAGTTTTCACATATCTGCACCCCCTGTTTTGCATGTCTACACAAGCAATTAATCTAAAAATGCAATTCGTATAAACATGAGGTCACCCTGTAACTTAGTCACTACAAATAACTTGCCTTCAGTTAATATACCTATCCGTTGGAAATGGAAAAAATATTTTGCCAAATTCATTTGTTAGAAAGAAGAATTTTATTAAGGATTAGTGCGAGACAAAAGGTGTTAGCATGCCATTCTGATTACGTATACGATAATACCCAAACATAACTTATAACATGATGACTACAAGTAAAGGTCAAAGACAGTCATTGCCGTGTATTGGTTTGTTGTTGAAAAATCAATTTTTTGTCATGGTCAGCTTTACATGATTGTGTCAAGAGTAACCAATCACCAAGCGTTAAATCACATTGCAAACGATAACAAAGGAACGAACATTGAAATCAAAAATGTTATGTGTAAAGAAGTGTTCATTTCATTTAGCATGGAACATAACCATTAGTATATCATATTGAATCTGCTTCATTTTACTGCAAATTTCAATGTTGTGCAGAGTACTATTCTAAACTATTCAATTATAATTACAAATTTGTATAATTATTTATAAACTATAAAGAAAAAAATTCACCAACCGTGCATCGCACGGGTACTATTTCTAAAAAAATGAGTATTGTTTAATAATGCCATAACACACTTTCACATATTTGCACACCCCCTGATTTGCCAATTTACCCGGGCAATTCGTACAAAATATGCAATTCGTATAAATGCATTGTCACCATATTACTTGAGATGTTTATACTTACACTTATTTCAGTCCCAGACCAAACCAAACTTAAACAAACCGGATCAGACCATACTTGGATATTAGAAATAGTAGAAGCACCTATTTGAAGATTCCCAGATCATCAAAATTACTCCCAAATTAAATCATAGCAAATATGACATCCCACAATCCATTTTCCCACAAATTTAGATCCAAGTAAAATTCAAGAATGACATAACACACTTTTACATATTTTACTCTCTTCTTTTGCCTATTTAGAGAGACAATTCGTCTAAGAATGCAATTCGTGTAAATTTATAGTCACCTTATACTTAGTCATTTTAAATAACTTACCTTCAATTAACTTATATAAACCTTTGAAAATGAAAAAAATGGCAAAATCATTTGCGCATCACAAGGTGAATTACTAGCAAAACATTTTACTAAAAGAAGTGAATTTGACATAAGTTTGTGCGAGCTAAATGTGTTTATTTCTAAGCACTCCTATTAACAACTTCTAATGTTAACCGTGTGATGCACGATTACTCGATGAGATACAGATGTACTATGACTGTAGATACATTTCTGCGTGCGAGGCTGCTTGGCGCATATTTGGGTTTGAAATTCAATATAAGACCCCGACAGTTGAACCTTTGAGCTCCAATTTGCCGGAAGAACAAAGTGTTGTCTTTCACGATGATCTGCCTCTGGACTCAGCGGTTCAGGCATGTTGTTAAGGACAGTATGTTCACAGCATAGATGAAGGCCAATAAGAAGTACCGGGAAGTAATGCTTTAGTATTGTGATTCCAATGCATATTTACAATGTTATATTTTCAACGTATTTGTTGGATGTTTTTTTTATCTTCTAAGTAATGCTTAATAATATCAATTTGACCATAATATTATAAGTGTTTCGATTAATGCTTTGATGTATATCAGTGTTACATGAAGATAGATGATTTTATCAATTAATATTGTGATTTGAATTATTAAGCACACATAAATTTGAAAGAAAAATTCTCAAACCGTACATCCCACGGGTGAGTTTACTAGTTGAGTTAGAAAGACTCATTTCCATCTTCATCATGATTGAGGGCCCGGCGGTAGTCGTTCACTCTTTCCACCACTTTGAATTTGAAAATTCAAATCTCCATCGCCGCCATAAACCCTCCCCAAACGGTCGAATTTTGAATTCCTTAAACTAGCACACTCTCTCTCCTCCCAACTCTCTCTCTCTCACTCTAAGCTTTGTGTTTGAAACCCGTATCCAAGATTGAACGAAAGTCTCCATTATTGATTTCTACATCTTTGAGGTACACTGCCCGATCATGTACTGATTCTCTTCATTGTCTTTGTAGATTTGAAGCAAAACCTGAAGTTCTTGTTGGTCTGAGAGCTCTGTTTAATTTTATATCTTGGTGTTAATTATTTTGTAATCTTTGCATTCGCATTACGAATCCATTCGGATTTGATACAGCTTCACCTGAGGTGCTTAAAGTTTCAATTTTAAAATGAGCGTTGGGTCTTGTTCGGATAGAGCTGGTTTTTGTTACTTGAAATTGAACGTGCGTTTTCATAACATAGATTGAGAACAGAATTCATAAGAGCTGTCCGCTAAAACTAACCCTAAACTGCTGGAAATTCTCTAGGGTTTTGTCTGTCAAAAATTTGCTATCCGATCAGGTGATAATAAGTGTTAAGTTGGAAATTAGTAAGCTTCTGGTAATTCCACCATACATCTTACACCAACAGTCCGGCTCACTCTGTAGAGACTGGGAGTTACTCTTCCCTCAACAGCACCACATAATGATTTAATATGCTATGTTGTTAACCCAAAAGTAAAGTTTAACTTGATTATGATTGTGATCAGATCTCGAGTTTTAGAGCATGTCTACCTCCCAAAGGGATCCACTTTCGCAAGTGGAAACGACATGTGGTACACTTCTGTATGAATTGCAGGTAAGCCTAAATTGACTATCACAATTAAGGGTATTGCTTTTTCCATACCTTGCCTCGGTGAAGAACTCACTGCTTTTCACTTTCCCCTTAGATAATATGGGATGAAGTGGGGGAATCCGACTCTGAAAGAGACAGAATGTTGCTTGAGCTTGAACAAGAGTGCCTTGAAGTTTACCGGAGAAAAGTAGACACAGCAAACAAGTGCAGAGCTCAGCTAAGGCAGGCAATTGCAGATTCTGAAGCGGATCTTGCAGCTATATGCTCAGCTATGGGGGAACGACCAGTGTATATCCGACAGCAGGTGAGCCGCACAACTATGAACTAATTACCTAATTAGATGGACATGGCTGAGAACTTTTCAGTTAGGACATTAGGCTATGTTTTCATCTAGGAATATGCTAGGGTAAGGAAAGAAGCCTCTAAGAAAAGTTATTTTCCTACGTAGTATATATCATTTACCTGGGAAAATGAAAAGGAAAATGGATTATTTACAATATTTCTTTTCCTACATATGTTTACACGCTTTAGGAAATGGTCTTTTTGCATATTTTTTTTAAAATGCTTGCATATTTTTTTACTTATAAAATAAACATGAATTAATTGAGTTTAAACCAATATTTTATTTTCCTCAATGTTTTCTTTCCTTTCAAATTTCATCTATAATTTTCTCCCTATATCTTCTTTCCCTTGCATTGTCCAAGTTCCAAATAGACCCTTAGTTTCTCAAGTTCTCTGCGCATTAAGCATATGTAGCAAGCTGATTTAAGTAGGGAAAAATACACACTAAAAGAGAGAGAAATTCTCAAAATATGACTTAATAACTTATTTATGTTTCCTATGACTACAAACCCATGTGTGCGCCATTCTCTAGTCGTGCTTATCATCATATACGGGTAAATGACTTCCTATATTTAAGCTAATTAATTGGGAGTACGGTGGATGAGAAAAAAATGGATGACCATACATAGATTTACCTTCATATATTGGGAAAATAACTAATAAAGTCATAGATGGGGAAACTCATATTCTTTTAGTCACATGGGATATAAATTTCTCATCTAAGTAGAACTTTTTAGAAATGTGTTATTGAATTCTTATTTGAATTCTTATTGAATTTTTAGAGATTTTTTAACATAGCTTCAAGGTGTTGACAGGCTTTTAATTTCTTACTATGTTCATCTAACATTCAGTCTGAGCAAAACTTGAGGGGCTTAAAGGCAGAACTCAGAGCAATTCTCCCAGAAATAGAGGAGATGAGAAAAAGAAAGTATGAAAGAAAGAAACAATTTATTGAAACGTTGGAGCAGATTCAGAAGATAAAAAACGAGATTAATAGTTTTGCTTCCCTTTCTACCTGCATAGCAGTGGATGAAAGTGATTTATCTTTAAGAAAGCTCGAAGAATTGCAAAGAGAACTTCAAGCTCTTCAGAAAGAAAAGGTTTACTTTCCTTCTGCATAATCTGAGATACACTCTTTCTTCAAAGTCCATTTTCAATAACATGTGGTGAGATTATCTTGTCTGCAGAGTGAACGACTTAAGCAAATAATGGACCATCTAAGTACTTTGAATTCTCTATGCTTGGTGCTTGGTATGGATTTCAAGCATACCGTCAATGAGGTCCATCCAAGTCTTGGAGAATCTGAAGGAGCAAAGAACATTAGCAATGACACCATACGAGCTTTAGTTGTAGAAATCCAGAGATTGCGTGAAGTTAAAATACAAAGGATGCAACAGGTATATATGGAGTTTACTTTTTCCCCAGATACTTTAGCTTGTTTTTTGCCTGAAGACATGGTTAAACTTTGAATCGTCATAGCTACAAGATCTTGCAACTTCATTGTTGGAGTTGTGGAATTTGATGGACACACCAGTTGAAGAGCAACAAATATTTCAAAATGTTACGTGTAAGATTGCTGCCTCAGAAATTGAGATAACCGAGCCAAATATGCTCTCTTTGGAATCCATTGATTATGTGAGTTATATACATGCATATATATATATATATGTGTGTGTGTGTGTGCGCGTGTGTGTGTGTATTTCAAAACAGATATTTTCCATCTACTGCTTCGACTGCTTTACTTTTTTTTTTTTTTTTCCTTTTTTGCTTTTATGAGTCACTTTGCATTGACATAATTTTCTTTTATGATTAAGGTTGCTAAAGAAGTATCACGTTTGGAAGATTTTAAAGCAAGCAAAATGAAGGAGCTTGTTTTAAGAAAGAGATCAGAGCTCGAAGAGATCTGTCGGAAAACCCATATGCTCCCAAATTCAGATATTTCTTTGAGTATTATTATTGAAGCCATTGAGTCAGGTACTCAAAATCTTAACTTACAAGAAACAAGATAAATGTACTTCAAGAAGAGATGAATGCTATTTTTTATTCCTTAACTTTTTTTCTTTTGAAAAAGGAGCTGTTGATGCCACTAGTGTGCTTGAGCAGATTGAGCTTCAGATAGCTCAAGCGAAGGAAGAAGCTTTCAGCAGGAAGGAAATACTTGACAAGGTTGAAAAGTGGATGACTGCCTGTGAGGAGGAGTGCTGGCTTGAGGAGTATAACAGGGTTGGTTTCTTAGTTAACTTGTAATAATTTGTCTATTTGGTTGTACATATAAATGCTACCCCAACACTTTTATTCATGAACAGGATGAAAATCGCTACAATGCTGGCCGAGGTGCCCATCTTACCCTGAAGCGCGCTGAGAAAGCCCGTGCCTTGGTTAATAAACTTCCTGGTAAATACTTTTCTTTTGCAGTATTTGTGTAGAACAAACGTAAAATTGCACTTCCCAGTTTGTCTGTTTTCAATATTGAGAAAGAAAAGTTAGTATGGTTTATTTAAAAGTGTTCTATTGCATAATGACTATGCTGTTAACATGATTACTGTGTTATTGATATAGCAATGGTCGAGGGACTGGCATCCAAAATCAAGTCATGGGAAAATGAGAGGGGAATTGACTTTCTTTATGATGGGGTATGATAGACCACCTCATTGCTGCAAATTCAATGAAGTTAAATTGATGCCTGAATGTGGTTTAATTTTTCTGATTATAGATTAGCCTTCTTTCCATGCTTGAAGAGTATCACATTCTGCGGCAAGAAAAAGACCAAGAACGCAAAAGGCAGAGGGTATGGCTACTTGATCTAGTATCTATGTGCATCTTTTCTTGATGAAAGCCATTAACCTGTTCACAAGAAACTGCTTTTAATGACCTCAGGATCAGAAGAAACTTCAGGGGCAGCTGATAGCAGAACACGAGGCTCTTTATGGATCAAAACCTAGTCCAATGAAGAACCAAAGCAAGAAAGGTTCTCGGCTGTCCTGTGGTGCCGTAAGTAACAGAAGGATGTCTGTTGGAGGCATGCAGACTCCCAAACCTGAAATACTACATCCCTCAAAAGCAACTCCTAATACGCGCCATGCCAAGAAGGCTGAGCATGTACTTCAGTATGACCAATCAAACCTTTCTACAGCTGATGATGGGTTTTCATCTTTATCCACAGGTTTTAGTGTCCCTTCCTTTATTTAAAGTGATGTTTATCTCGATTGTCTTGTATATATTATTGCCATTGCAGATTTGACACTTGTGTTACTCTGCTTTCACATCTCTTAGGAGAGTTTTTCCCACTTTTTAATCCTTTGGCTACTATGCTAATGACAGTCTTTTAGTTTTTACAATTTTAGTCCTTGGATTGTTCCGATGAAGACTCATTTGGTGCCCCATCTTTGATTGTTTTCACATTTAGTCTTTTTTATTATTGTTGTAGTGCAGCATATTGATCCTCCAATTATTGTGATAGTAGTGACACTTTTGGGATTTGCCTTTGAACTTATGGCAAAAGTCGGAGGACCAAAAGTGTATTATGACATACTAAAAGTGTCATTATCACAATTAGTGATTGGAATGTGGAAAAATTCAAAGGCGGTGCCACATGTCCCAAGGACAAAGTAAAAAAGTTAAAGATGGTGTGAAGAGTGTCATTAACAACATTTCATATGTTTTTTGTCAAACACCTTGGCCAATCAATCAATCATAAGCATTATCATCTATGTATAGGTTTAGCACCCTGTGCTTATAAATTGAGTGTTGCACTTTTGACTCTTAGGTCGCAGAGGTTTGGACATAGCTGGTCTTCCCATGGTGCGAAATCCTTTCTCACCAATTTCTTCAACAGATTCCTCTAGGTCCAACATTTTGGAAGAACTCGACAGGAAACACAATGTGATGATTCAGAAAACAATATTTACCACACCCGTCAAGACAATTCCCCATGTCAAAGATGAGAACAGAACTCCCATCCCTTCAACGCCATCAACAGTGTGTATTCCCATGCAGACAGCTTTGACACCGGTCCCTCATATATATGGGAAGGGAGTGGAAGAAATTGAATACTCCTTTGAAGAGAGAAGGGCTGGATTTTTTCTTCCAATACTGTCTTGATTCATAGGGTCTTTTTTCCTGATTTTAATTTCTACTACGTAGCACTTTTTTTTTTGCAATGTTTAGTCACTAAATGCCAATTGTATTGGCGGCATCTTCACATTTGTCTCTGAAAAATTGTGTGCTTTGTGCTTCAACATCATTATGCTTTGAAGCACTTCATCCAGCCAGCAGCATGGGGGAAGACTGAGGAGCAGGAAAAATATCAAACACTTAATTTATTTTTCTATTTTTTACTGTAGGGGGCGTCTGGGCGAGGGGGCTTGGAGGGCCTGGAGACTGGAGTAATCAGGGCTGAAACTCACTCCATTCAGTCTCGAACTCGAGACCTCCCATAAGTGAGAGTGAGTCGGCGACCAGTTGGGCTGTACCGCTTCCTCCAAAATTTCCATCTATCTCAAAGCATTTCATCGCTTTCCTTTTCTTTTTCTTTTATGCTTAAAACGAATTAAATGATCAGCTGACTCCTCCACAGCTTCACAAATCTGACATTTAGTCTCCACATTCACCTTGCGTCTTGTTAGGTTAACAAGATTTAGTAGAACCCCCATCGTAAGTTGGCAAAAGAAAAACTTTCCTTTGGGGAAACAAGCACCGCATTCAACATAGACGGGTCCAGCCCCACCATCCATCTGGATTTTCCTCCCCAACTAACCGCCTATAGCAACTTTTAACAGTGTATCTCCCCCTAGCATCATTAGCCCACCAGAAATCATTGTTAATAGCAATGATAGTTAATGGGTTTTTCCCAAAGGGATGTACTTTCTATTTCTCAAAATATGATACTTTCAAACTTATTTTCCCAAATAGGGGTATTTTTTTGCAATCACCGTGCCACGTCAGCACTCCAATTAAATTCGATTTCCATGTCATTTTAGTTGCCACGTCATATGTCTATGTCATCATATGTACATATCTTTTCGAAATAAAAAAGATGAGGCTAATACGGTTTGAACCCATGCAATGACGCTTATTATTCCGTATCAGCGTATCCAACACCACTGCACCACACTTATTAGTTGCATTATACCCACGCCATGTTTAATTAAAATTCAAAATTAAACACTCATCTTCCTACTCCTCATGATCCTCGTCATTCATCATCATCATCATTATAATTAGTTTTATCATTATTATTATTATTATTGTTACTATTATTATTATTATTATTATTATTGTTATTATTACTATTATTATTATTATCATTGTCATTGTCATTGTCATTGTCATTGTCATTGTCATTGTCATTGTCATTGTCATTGTCATTATCATTATCATTATCATTATCATTATCATTATCATTATCATGAGTATGACAAAACATTTTTGTTTAAAAAAAACTAACACTACTACACAAACAAGGGAAATGCAAAAAAATGATATTTGTGAACTTTATAAAACAAGACCGATTCACCGGCAACGGCGCCAAAAACTTGACCGGTTTGAACTTGCAAGTGTACAAGTGCCGATATAGTAATAAATTCCGGTAAAATACCGGGTCGAATCCACAGGGAAACGTTGTTTAATTCAAGTCCGAAAGTAGATAACTTTGAATAAATAAATGAGTAAAGTGCAGGGATTTTGAGTTGTGTTTTATATTTTTGGCTTTTCACTTTTAATTCAAGGAAATAACCTTGATTAATTCGGATTTAAGATGAATGATAACAACGGGTAAGGCTTCGTGAATCACTTAAATGCTTTAATAGGGTTGAATATTAGTTCTTTACCAATAATTATGAATACGATGTCACTAATATATTCTCAACTCCGGTTAAGGCAGCGAGAGTGTGGTTTTCGTTACGTGTAAGTCCCATTACGGCTTACATTCATCTACCGAAAACCCCGTTGAATATCAAGACATCACACCCGTATCATATAATACCAGATATATTTCTATTCTCGGTAATATATATGTTTATCCTTTAATGTTCATAGTTTAGACTTCAACGTTAATTGCAAGCATAAACTAAATTTAACATAATTCTATGTTGTACACCATAGTCATAAACAATCAAAATGTAAAGGATAAATCACAATTTATTGGTTTAGAATTTTATCAAACACCTAATGGGCATAGAAGTTCATCCCTAGCCTTAGCTAAGAACTTAGCCTCTAATGCTCATATTAATTACAAAAGTGTAACTAAGAACAATGAAATACAATAACATACAAGAAATAATACCTAGAACCAATTGTAGATGAGAGAAATGGCTTCTTCTCCAACACTTCAAGAAAATGCAAAAAGGAAATATAAAAACTGAAATTTAATCTTCAAGAATGGAATGATGATCTTGTTTGATGAATTGAGCGCTTTATATAGGCTAAAAATTTGCATCTTTTAGTCTATTCAAGCCCAACAATCAGGCATGGAAGATATATTTGATTAGATCATAAGGAAAGTGGAGTTTTCCCATCAAAATATGGCTGCACGTCTTTGTGTTTTATGCAGATTCGGGCTTAACCGGCGCTGGTTTTAGGCTTTACCGGCGCCGGTTTTACTTCGGGGCTGGAATAATACTGAAAAACACCCTAACCGGCGCCGGTTATAGGGTAAAACCGGCGCCGGTTATACTTCGGCTGACCGGGAAAATGGCAGATTAAATGCAACCGGCGCCGGTTTGTTGAAATTCCGGCACCGGTTTTGTCCTGGGATTTTAGGGATGTTCTGCTACGAATTTGGACATAATTCCTTCACCAAAGTTGTAGATAATGAAGTCTTTTATCCACCAAAACTTGAATGACGTGATTTTATTCAGCCAATCAAAAGATATGGGTAAAACACTGAGAGGTATGCATCCTGAAATCCCACCAGCAACATCTGACTTTGTTGGTTGATTGAGTCTTGCTCTTTTCATATTTTGGCCATGACGTCTTCATAACATTTGTACCTTATTGAGTTAGCATTCACATGAAACTCGAATCGAGTGATTGCGAGCTCTATAGAATAAGTTATACTCAAATTATGGGCAGAACGTCATTCTCTTGGTCCAAAAAGTCGTTCATCGCAATGTTTTATGCTCTAACTCTCATTCTGGAGGTATTTGCCCGGTTTCTCTTCTTTTCTTCAACAAACACTTATAAATATTTATGTTAAACACAAGTAAATATAACGGCTATGAGTATCTTTTCAAAGCACTGCACGTTTCATGGATAATATCACAGAAGAATTGGGGTGCATCGGTCCATGGAAGAAGACGAAATGTGTAAATCTTGTGAGTTCTTGTGCAGGAATTTCAGGTGATGATTCCTGAAGTAGATCGATTGCCGTTAGGAAGAGAGAAAAATTGGGTAACAACGAAAATAGGGTCGTCCACTTATGATATAGTGATCTGAAAAGAGACAGTGATATCAATACACTGAACCGGATTCCATTATCTGATGCAGAGCACTGCAGATAGCCATCTCATATCAGTTTGTAAACTGAATTAGTTCAATCGTTAGTATGTTTGTATATGACGAATAAAAAGGTGACAGGTGTCCAAGCTAAGTAGTTAGTTAGTTAGCTAGCTTCGTATTAAGACTTGGACCAAATATATACGGCCTGTACATGTACTTTTGCAGTCATATAATGAAATTGATCTACTTCTTCCCCAATACTCATATTCTCTTTTCTCTCTCAACTAACAACTATCAGACCTACAATTCTCGTCATTTTCTTCTACGTTGCTTATGAAATGACCTGGATTGTATCAGTGGTATCAGAGCCCTTTATCTGATCCGATTACTCCTTCAATCTGCAAATGGATTTGACAAGAAATTCTCAGAAGAATACCTAATTTTGTTGAGCGGAAAATGGTGATGACACGGAATTCTAATTCTGATATGGATGAAGTTCTAAAAAACCTACAAATAGAATTTGATCAGAAGCTGGAAAGTCAGAATAAACTCATGATGGATATGATGAGCAAAATTATGAAGAAAGTTGTTGGGCTTCAGAAAAGTAAGAAGGTTGTGGATGATGAAGAATCTGGAGAGGATCACATAGTAGATGATGATGAAGAAACGTCATCAGAAGAAGAAGGAGAAGGCGTTAATGGCAAAACTTCTCAAGCTGGAAATCATACTTTCCGGTTCAGTCCTAAGGTTGAATTCCCTACATTTGAAGGACAAAATGCAAAGCTATGGCTTCAAAAGTGTGACAGGTACTTTAAGCTTTGTAATATTCCAGACAATCAAAGGGTCAATTTAGCCTCTTTATATCTAGAAGGGAGGGCTGCAAGTTGGTTTGGAAATAATGTATCATCCAAGAAGAAACTGAAGTGGAAACAATTCACATGTGATTTGATTGCTAGGTTCAATGATAATGTGAACAATAAGATAGTTGAAAGGTTTAATAATCTGAAGCAAACGGGATCATTAGAAACTTTCATTGATGAGTTTGAATCCCTTAAGACAGCTATGTTACAGAGAAACCCTAAATTGCCATCAAACTACTTTCTAGATTGTTTCTTGGTTGCTCTTAAACCAACACTCAAGTCATTTGTAATGGCTTTTAGTCCACATACTATGGCAGAAGCCATAACATTTGCAAGATTGCAGGATGACACAGTAGATGCTATAACTACACAAGTTAAAATTGGGAGTTCACAGAAAATGGTGTTGTTCAAGCCTATTATATTCTACCTACACCAGTGCAGAATACTAAGTTTCCTAGCAACTTAACCAAAACTGCTATTGTACCTGCCCCTAGAAAGTTTGTATCTGCTGCTGATAGAGTTGAGAAGAGAGCTAGGGGTCTATGTTACTACTGTGATCAACCCTACACTAAAGAGCATGTGTGTAACCACAAAGGTACCCAACTGTTCTTGGTAGAGATTAAGGGGGGTACAGGAAAAGAAGATGAAGAGAGTAATTGTGAGGAGGGTCAATTACTAGAAAGCTTCAGTGAAGTTAGCATTCAGAAAGAGGAACCATTGATATCTTTCCATGCTATAAATGGTTATTTGGATTACAGGACTATGAAGCTCAATGGCTATGTGGATAGAAGGAAGCTGTTAATACTAATAGATTCAGGAAGTACTCACAACTTCCTAAGTCTATGTATGGCCAGAAAATTGGGCTGTAAGCTGGATAAAATAGATACTATGTCAGTGGCTGTGGCTGATGGATCACAGACAGAATGTAACTATATTTGTAGAGGATTTACTTGGAAGATGCAAAATACTTACTTTCAGGGAGATATATTGGTGCTACCTTTGGGGGGATATGATATGGTGTTAGGGGTACAATGGCTGAGCACTCTTGGAGAAATCAATTGGGATTTTCAGGAATTATGTATGAAGTTTAGAGATAAAGGCTGCCAAGTAGTGCTAAGAGGACAAAAGTTAGGGGAACTTAGCATTATGCAGGGAACAAAGAAGCAGATTGGCCAAATAAACCAGTTGTATTTGATCCAATGTCAAGAACAGGCAATGATAGGAGAGGATAGGCAGATGGAGAAACATTTTGGGGTGAATGTGGTGAAGACTTCAGAAATGGAAGCCATACCAGAAGACTTGGAGATGTTGATTAATCAATATGAAGATATTTTCAAAGAACCCTAGGGACTACCACCTAGCAGGGGTATTTTTGATCATAGGATCCCTATAAAAGAGGGTTCACAACCAGTAAATGTGAGGCCTTATAGATATCCTTTGAAACAAAAGGATATAATTGAAGAAAAGGTTAAAGAATTGCTGAACAAAGATGCCATTCAACCCAGTGCATCACCATATGCTTCTCCTGTGGTTTTGGTGGGAAGGAAAGATGGGGACTGGAGGATGTGTACTGATTATAGGGCTTTGAATAATCAAACCATCAAAGACAAATTTCCCATACCAGTGGTGGATGAACTCATTGATGAATTAGCAGGAGCACAAATATTTTCAAAAATTGACTT